GGACTTTCACAAAAGTTTTAAATTTCCACAAAATACTGTGTAATTAGATTCAAGGGGTTTTTGGGGGAAAATATGTATTTAAATGTATCTGAGGCGCACTTTGCATTTCATTTCATTTACTTCGCATACTTAAAAGCTCATTAATATAATGGCATATTGTATTATTGATATTATTAAGTGAAATTAAATTTTTTAATTAGTTTCTTTAAAAAGTTTAATTTGGGCTGAATATCAGTCGTCGTTTAAGACTTAATGCAACAATTGCATTTAACTAATATAGAACACTTTTCAACAAATTAAAATTCTTACTTTTTAATTTAAGAATAAATAAAAATTAACTTTACTTGCTGTGAATATTACATTTTACAATGGGTAGCCAAAAAGAACATATTTTTGAACTAAGTTAAGTAGATTTAAAATAACATTTTTTATATTAGCTTAGTTCAGAGTTCTCTCTGCCGTGTTGCAAATGTATTTAAAGCCGCAGTTTGTCCGTTTGTCTGCTACCTGTAGTGCACTTTCAACCCTCGTTCGGGCCATGAATTATGCAGCTAATCAGTTTTAATGCGCTTTCCATCGAAATCCAGTGTGTGAACTTTCAGCTCGAGCGCGCAAAACAAATTAAAAATGTAAGTGAAAAAATGCGCATACAAAAACCGATGAAATCTGATCGAATGTTTGCGAGCAAATTAACTCGCCGAAATGCTTTATGAAGGGGTAAAAATGGGAAGGCGGTTCGGGTCTCAAAAACCAGAATTATGGCCGTCAATCTTCTGGGGGGGAGAAGTGTGGGGGGGGGCTGCCAAGGCGACAGTTTGATAAACTGGAGCAGCGCTTCAGATACTAATCAGCGCTTCGCTGCTCGCTTAACAGGAAGCAATAAATTCTGCCAGGACATGCCAGGATATATGGGTGTGCGTGTGTGTGTGTGTGTGTGTGTGTGTGTGTGCGTTCCGCGCCCTTGTCTAGAAATTTTAATTAAAAGCGATGACACAGCGAGTAATTCAATATCAAAATGTCGCCTATTAATTTTAAGGACATTTCCTTTATTGATTCACTGTCAATATTATATTGAAGCCATAATTTACACATAAAAGGGCTATGGCCGTATCCCCCCCAACCCCCCCCCCAATCACCCAATTCCCTAATCATTTGCCTTAAGAACAGCCTTTGTTTGGCTTGTTTAATTCATTTAGACATTGAAATGTGGCAAGGGGCGTGTTGGCCCTTTTTGATGGGACCCACGCACGATATGGTGTGTGCGTGACTGTATCTTAATACCGGGTCCAAAGTCGAGGACATTTCCCTGCTCCTTGATGGCCGAGCATTCCATCTTTACGCCATTTTCATGAACACGCCAACCAGCCAGCCAGCCAGCCAGTCAGCCAAACAAACAAACAAACAAATAAGAATACCAAAATGGCCCAGGCACACGTCCGCCCCCCTTTCTTTTGCCCACTTGATTCTGATTTAACGCCCAGCGTATAGTGATTACGACAAACAAACAACCGAAATGGAAATCCCAGTTAATTCAGTCATCTAAACGCGCTTGTTATTGATAAGAAAGTGACTCACGCTCCGCCAGGAAAAACACGGCAATTAATATGTCCCCTTCTGATAGAGTAATAAAATGTGGGAAGGGTTAAAGCACAAGGAAATGACGAGGAAAATGGCATTCAGTTTGAGGGGTGAAATGAAAAGAAAATAATCCTTAAGTATTCATGATAGTTGTAGACATTTTTATGGATTTATTGGACATGAAAAGGTTTACTGACAGGAAAGCCATTTAACAAGGAAAAACAATTTTGTATAACCATTTACAAACACTACTCAAATCTAAAAATGTAATTTAAATAGGGGGAACCAAAATGAACGAAAAATCGCAATTTAATTTTATTATTTTAAGACTGTCGAAAGCAAACAGAATACCAGCCAGTCTCTTGAGATAAGTCTTCTGAGCAAGTACTTAAAACGACTGTCACCTAAACCGTGTTGAACACATTGAATTTTGGCCAGGCCAGACATATGTATGTACAATCTGCAAGCCAATGAACTATTTATCCGCCCCAATATAAGTATTGACATAAGCACATATATCGACTTCTGGCCGCTGGATTTGATAAACAGCCTAAGATACGAATTAAAGCAGCTGGAACTGGCACAAAGGCCTAATGCTCCGAATGCCAGAGAGGCCAAATAGATAGTTATAAATATAGACAGATAGGGATGGACAGATGTACGGTGGAGGGTTTTTGGGGGACGGATAGAGACAATAACCCGAAAGCCAGATTCCATTTGAATGGCCAACAGGAACCCATAAACCATTGGCCAAAGCGCACACACTCGCAAATATACACACAATTGTGGCGACAGACTGACTGTCTTTGACACCCCCTCCCTGACCCTCATAAAACCCAACACCCTTTTCCTACACAGAAAAAAATGGTATCACATTTGATTACTTCAATCTAGAAGGACTTTTAAGAAATGGTAATTGGAATAAAAGTTATTATAATTAATAAATAATTAAGTATTATTGATAAGCTCAAATATTTAGATTGTATTTGTTATAGGTATTTTAAAATATATTTATATTTTGTCGCATTAAATAAATAAATGCTTTTTTTCATGAAAAGGTTTAAAAATTGAAAATTCTGTTTTTCTTCTCCTTTAAATGCATTTTCACTTCAGTTCTCATTGCTTAAAATAAATTCATTTGCGTATGAAATTCACATAGAAATCACTTTAAAATCTTATACATTTTTGATCAGTGTACCCAAATTTTGTTGGTCGATGAAATAAAACTGTTATAACAATAAATTAAGTTGCTGTTGCAGCATAAAAACGAATTTACCAAATGACTGAATTGTATTTTGGGGGACTGGATGAATCGGGGACTACGACTATGCAATGGGTTGACGAATCGCAGGAGATGAGTCCTGGAAGTGAATCGAGAGCCGTTGGTCTAGTTCGCCCGTGCCTCTGTTTATTTGCGACCATTTGGCCCTCCGTTTGGGGCCAATTTAATAGCATACTTTGCAGCGCTAAGCAGACAGAAAACAACAGCGCAAATAAGAGGCAAAAAATTGGCGACTAGCGACAAACAAACAAACAAAATGAAGTGACGTCGCCGAGTCGCGACTCACAAAAACGGACGTTCATTGTTATGCCAAGAAAAGCAACACGACGACCCGAAAAGGAATTCAGCAGAAGCAGGAGCTGAAAACAGAAAACAGAACACAGAGACAAAGGACCAAAATGGCCCAGGATCAAATGGCAAATTGAAGATACACTATTTCAGTGGCTAAGCCCTTTTCGATTTTGCACTCCTGACTAACACTATAATTTAAAAATAAATATGTAAATTTATTTGTAATCCCATAAAGCTTTTTGTTCAATTTTGATGTCTTGTTTTATCTTTATTTTTTATAATTTCTCAGGCTTTGATTTTAGGCACTCAAAATCTGTACATATATCACAAATAAAAATTAATTTAATTTGAAAATTCCCAATTATTTGCTTTTGAGAATTATCATATATATATCACATTTAAAATAAAATTTTTTGTGGTTTCGTTGCTTTAAAATAATAAAAGTAGTAGTTAAATAGTTAAAAATGAAGACATTTTAGGTATTCATCATCGAATTTTGCAAAGAATGATCATAAATCGCAATTTTAAATTTAATTCGCAGCATTATTACACTTGTCAGATCAGACATTGAAAATGAAGAATGTTGGAGTTAAATTATTTAATTTTTTAAGAATACTAAGCAAAAAAAGGTTTTTTAAATGATATACAAAATCTAACTGACTTTACAAAAGCAAACTTATTGTTGCGGAAATCAATGATTATGCAGAGATATAAGGGATTGGAAAGTATTATGATCTATAGAGACCATAAAGAAGATCAGTTGAAGTAACAATATGATGGGCAAGGGCTCATCCTTCGACCCAAAGTCGTGGTGTCCTTCAAATCACCAGGGTATTCGCAGTGATGGCAGCAAACAGGAAGCGGGCAACGGTTCCACTGACTCCCTTTTGAACTTCCGCTTTGGCTTGCAGCAATTTCTTTGGCCTTTATTGCCGACCAACCCCCCAACCACCCCCCTTTGCAAAATCCCCCTGCCGAAAAGCTCCGTTACGACGCATATAGCATAAATTTTGAATACGCTCAAACTGCTCAGAGGGGGGCGGGAGGGGTTGGAAGGGGGGGTTGGGGTTGGTCCTGGAAAAAAATAGCGAAAATTGTCTGTCGCTTGATAAAGCGGAAGCAGAACTTGCCCATAAACGAAATGTGGCAACTGAGTGTAAACTTTATTGGCGCCAGACTGCCTGGCGACATCGCTGTTGTCATGCTCATCCCTTAACCCCGAATCCAGTATCCTCAGCATCCCAGTATCCCCAGCATCCCAGTATCCTCAACATCGCAGCATCCTGGCTGCTTTTTTGTGGCCCAGTTGGACGTTGACTCATGCGACACGCAGGATAAGCAGGACCACCAGGATTGCGACTGCGACTACGACCACGACCAGATCCGATGGCGTCTCGATGGCTGGCAACTAAAGTCATCGTTTACCCCCCAGAAAGAAGCCGCTTGTTTGTTTTGTCTGACTCCGCCGGTGACTCTCAGTCTGCGGGGGAAATGGGGGGATGGGGGGAAATCGAGGAAGTCCTACATTAGTTGATTTCATGCGCTGTTTACATTGGCAGCGAATTATGCGCATTGAAAAGCCGAGATTTGGCTGCCAGCGGGTGGCCATCCCATCTCTACATTCCGCATCCTCAAATCCAGTATCCTGCAATCCTGCAATCCTACACTCCTGCATATGCAAAGGGATCTGGGATCTGGAGTACTGTATCCTGGGCTGACTGCTCCTTGGAGTCGAATTCGGCTGGCATTTGGAACTTGTCTAGACTCTAAGCTCTTTGGCACCTCGGTGCTTACATTTCTGCTTTAAGGCTCTCGATTTGATTTCCTTCGTTTTCTCGTCTATTTTCAGAGGTCCTGTCCAGTTGGGAAGAGTGGTGGACATACGATGGCATATCCGGTAAGTGGCTGAAAAGTATTTTTAAAACACTGTCAAATTTCGGCACACTCTGAGCTCCTTCATCTACAATAGTTAATTAATATATGTAAAGACCTAATAGCTAAATGATATTAAGTCAATTTACGACATTCTAAAACTATTTATTAAAACCTAAAGCTTTTGAATTACATTAAATGTAAATAAAATTACAATGAACTGTTTTCGAAAAGATGTAAAGTAGTTGTAATACTACTCATATACTTAAACTATATTACAAGTTTAATATTGCTTTATTTAAACATTGATTATTATATTTTGTGATCCCCCAAAAACCTCATAAATTATGGTCAAAAGTTTGAAAACTTTGGGCAAACAATACTTTTATTTGTCTCCCTTTTTCAATCAATTTCTTTTGTGAATGGCCAAACGTTTAAATCTTTATATGTATGAATAAATTGGTAAAACTTTCGCACCCCTTCGGATGCTGTGGCTGAAATAATTAAATTTCAAATGGTTTAACAACAAAAACGCAGACAGAGCAGACAAACAAACAAACAAACAAACGAACAACAAACAAACAGGGACACCCACACAAAGTGGATGTTGTTGCTGTTGTAATTGTTGCTTGTCACTGTCTGAATTTTCCTCCATAGCCCCTGATGCACTTTTCGCAGCAACATAAAAAAGAAGGGAGAAACAAGCAACATGCAACTGCAACAGTGGCAAGAAATGAATGCAAAACACAAAATGAACAGCGGCCACAAGAGCGACGATTGCGGGCTGGTGAGGGAGGGGGGGCGTTGCGAGGGGCGTGGCTGGACAGGTGGGCGGTTAGTGGGCAGTGGCCAACTGGTGGGTCAGCTGCATCATCACGGAGCAGTTTTTAAACTTTGGCATTTATTGCCGCCGCGCGTCATCAAAGCACACACACAAATGCACGGGATGGGATGGCCACACACACACACACACACGTACAACCTCACTCTAAAATGCACACAAACCGTTAGCCATCAAAACCAAATTGTAGAAAACGGAATTCACATCCTGAAAGACCTGAACATTATTTGGGTTCCAATAACAAAACCACAAATAATTAAGAATACTGGTCATCAAAAGTTAGCAACAAACTAAATATTTGGAGGCTAAACATTTTATAAGTCAAAATATTTAAAACATATTTAAAATTATCCTTTTTTGTAACAAAAATAAAAATACTATGCTATGAATGCTAGTCCAAAGAAAACATCATGAAAGTAACGATTCAATAATTTACATTAATCTAATTTGAATCATTAAAAACTTTAACAAATATTTGACTCCTAAAAAAGTAAATTAATACTTTTTTTTTAAATATAAGTGTATGTTAACACTTCAGAAATAAAATTTCATAACAGTTTTAGAGTACTTTATTTATACTTTTTAATAATTTTAATTCCCCAACAGATTTTGATCTCACTGTAACTTCCAAATACACTTTGCAAATAATCGAATATTTCTATATTTTTTTCAATATTCAAAAGAGAGTATAACCTGCAGTCTGTCAAGGCCCAACTAATCTAGCACCTATTATTTGCCTTTATTTATTTGCCCACAACATGGAGAAAAATATTAAATTTTGCATAAGGCACAAAAGGACTAATTCCCCAGGCTTCTCTTTTTTTACCAGGAACCACAGGACCTGCCTTTTAACCCTCGGTTTGCCTGTCTATGTGGTGTGGAATTGTTTTGAAAACTTTCGACAGTTTTCAGCTTGTCACATTGGAGTTGGAAACCAGCCGAAAACCCAAACAAGTGAGGGTGCCTCTGACCCCTTCGCTGCATTTAATTGCCATTTAAAAGGGGGTCAATGGCTTGCAAGGAGAGGGATGGGGAGGGGGAGGGGAAGGGAGGATTGGGGGGATTCAGTTGGGTAGCTTATGAAATTTCATTTGGCATTTGGAATTGTCATCGATGTTGCTACTGCAGTTTCTGTTCTGTTTCTGTTTCTGTTTGCATTGGTCGAAACGGCGAAGACACGTTTTCCATTTGCTCGATTGACAGAAAACTGTGGCTGGGAATCCGAATTCAGGAACAACTGAAGGGGCCAATAACCGATGGATATTTATCTCTGACTTGTGGCTATACTTTTTACCCTTTCTGGGTACTAAAAACTCTGTAAAATTGTTTTATTTTCGATTTTATGAGGTCTTGTCATGTGTTAAATTATCATCTTCCAATTGAGAAAATCTAACGTTTGATGGAATTCAATATATTATCAAGTAAAACACCATTGCTTTTTAAGAATGTTTTGCATACAACTTAAATGGACTTAAAATCATTTTAATAATATATTTAAATCAGAACCTAAAATAACACAGCATAAAATAACATATAGAATATTCTACAAGTTGATTAAAAATCTGAATAAAGAGTATTTTAAATTTAGGATTTTTTGAAATGCAAATGCATTAGCTACCGTGATGTTATTAGGTTAGTTTTATAATGTTAAATATTTAACTGGCTCCCGATAAAAGGGCATCTCTAGGCATGTTCTTTGGTTTTAAGAAATACAAAACAAAATATAGGGACTCACCCATCAATGTCCTTGTTTTGCTCACTTTTTGCGCATGTGTCCGTTTGAGCGGCGGCGACTCATCCTTTCGGCTTCCTTTTCGGCTCTTTTTTGGCAGGACCTAGCTTCTGGGGCCTCATCAATCCGCAGTGGAATATGTGCAACAAGGGGCGCCGCCAATCGCCCATCGACGTGGTGCCCGACAAGCTGCTCTTCGATCCCTACCTGCGACCCCTGCACATCGACAAGCACAAGGTGCGTATGGGGCATGCCCCTGATGTTGACCCCGAACTTGACCCGCCTATCCTGCACTTTCAGGTGTCCGGCACGCTGCACAACACGGGCCAGTCGCTGGTCTTCCGGGTGGACAAGGACACCAAGCAGCACGTGAACATCTCCGGCGGACCTCTGGCCTACCGCTACCAGTTCGAGGAGATATACATCCACTACGGCACGGAGAACGTCCGCGGATCCGAGCACTTCATCCAGGGCTACAGCTTTCCCGGCGAGGTGAGATCATGCCAAAACAGCTTTACTTTTTATACCCGTTACTCGTAGAGTAAAAGGGTATATTGTATTCGTGCAAAAGTATGTAACAGCTAGAAGGAAGCGTTTCCGACCCTATAAAGTATATATATTCTTGATCAGGGTCACTAGCCGAGTCGATCTAGCCATGTCCGTCTGTCCGTCTGTCCGTCTGTCTGTCTGTCTGTCCGTATGAACGCTGAGATCTCGGAAACTATAAAAGCTAGAAGATTGGCATTTTGCATGCAGATTCTAGGAGTTCCTACGCAGCGCAAGTTTGTTTCAAAAAGGTGCCACGCCCCCTTTAACGCCCACAATCGCTTATATACGATTTTAAAAATTTAAATATTTCGGAAAAGTAAAAATGCAGTTTTATTGTGTTTATCAATACCTATCGAAATGTAGAAGAAATTTTTCAAATCGGACCATTCGTTAAAAAGTTATGCGTGATCAAAGTTTCTATCTCCATCTCCCTCGCACTCCCTTTACCTGAGTAACGGGTATCTGATAGTCTATAGACTATAGCGTTCTCTCTTGTTTATATTATATAACCAAATTAGTACAAAATCAAGACCAAATTCTTTGTTTTTCCATTTTTTAGCAACTGCTTTTACTATAAATAAATTTAAATTCTGAATGCCATTTGTAAAATGTCCAACATTCATTCATTCATAATTAATCAATTTATTTTGTTTTTATACATTACAATTTCATAAAGCTGTTAAGATTTTTTTTGGAGCTTCTAAATGGAACATAGTACCAACAAGTTATAAAAAATATTGGAAAGGTCTTTTTCAAAAATGAGTGCTTTTTTTTTTGGAATTTTTGGTTTAACATTTATATATTTAAAACAAGCAAAAGACATGTTTGTTATTTATTCCTTATTTCGTTTTTAGATGCCAAATGTTGCATAGTAGATAGATCAAATATTATTAGCTTTCTGCTTTGACAGCCTAAAGTTATAAGGCAGTAAGGCAATAATCCAATAACCCCCGTTTCAGATCCAAATCTACGGGTTCAACAAGGAGCTGTACCACAACATGTCCGAGGCGCAACACAAGTCGCAGGGAATCGTGGGCCTCTCGCTGATGGTGCAAATCGGCGAGACGCCCAATCCGGAGCTGCGGATCATCACGAGCACCTTCAACAAGGTGTTGTACAGAGGTGAGTGCGATGGGGGTACACTACCCCTTAAGCCTCCCGAAAACCAACCCACGGCCCATCCACTGACCACCTTCATTTCCGTCTACGCAAAATGCTGCCGGAAATGTTGCAATGTTAATACCGTTGCAAGTTGCCTTTTCTTTGGCTGCCCCGTTTTTATGATGTCATTGCAGCGGCAGCAACAACAACTGCAGGGGGCCATAATTATGTCCAGGCGGGCCATAAAAAATTGAGCAGTTTGATGATGGGTGCGGGGAGCGGGGAGCTGGGGGGATTTTGGCCAAATTGAGACTGGTCGGCACAAAGTGACGAAAATGAAACCTCGAATTACACTAAACCGACACTTAATAATTCCCCACTCCTCCCCCTGAAAACACATTGCACGTCTCGTTGGCATTTTCTTGGCCAGTTTAATAGCCTTTTTACAGGTCGTACAACTTTATGGGAGCCCAGCCCCAGCCTTAATTTGTAAAATGCCAGGACGAAGCGACCAACCGACTGAAACCGAGAACCCAGAACCCAGAACCGAGAACCGAGAAATATGCCAGGCCACTCGCCAAAAACAGCAAGAACAACCACAATAACTGCAGGATAAAGCCGCTACATAAACTTTAAAGTCCCCACATTTTGGATACTCTTCAAAAATAAAACAAATTAACTTATAGACTAGGAGAAAAATTAAAAGCTAAGCCCGGTTAATATCGTGTCAGAAATATGGAAATAACTATTTGTAATTCACAGCAGAAGGGATAACAACTTTTCTATTAAGAAATACATTTCAATCTTTACATGGAAGTGTATGTTAATATTTCATTCTTTACATGGAAGTGTATATTAATATTTCATATTATATTTCCAATTAAGAAATACATTTCATTCTTTACATGGAAGTGTATATTACTATTTCCTATTAAATAATATCGATATTCAGAATAAAAGTCTTTCTTAAATTTAAATGTATCTGATCTACAAAAGTTAAGTCTTGTGATTTTAAATTACATAGGCTTTCCAAAAAGAAGTTCACCATTACAAAATCAGACATACTCAACATATTAATCAAATCTTTTGATATGAATCTAAATTCTCAAGGAAAAGGGTAAATAAAAATAATTCTGTAGGCAGTTTTATAGGTTTAAAAGTGGATAGGTGAGTGGTCTGATATAGTTATTAGCTTTTAAAGTAAGTTCGAGATAGATATTTTTACTTCGACAGTCCAACGTACATTTTCCTTTAATCCCCACGGAATACACCTGAGGAACTCCTTCCAATCAGCTGATTGATGTGAGTATATCCCCGCAGAAAGTAAAACCAACACTTGCAATGCAAAAAAAAACCTATTCCTCCGTCCGGGAAAAGCCTTCTCCGTCTCCGGATTCAGTTTGACTTGGGCTACAAGCCGCGAGTTGCTTCATTTCCGGCTGGCAAAATGATTTGTATGAATAAAGCCGAGCGCTGACGTTGAAGTGGTCAGGTTGGGAAGTGGCAACTGGCAACTTGCAACTGGGCTGAATTATTCATTAGACCCCGGCAGACGTGTTTTCATATTTTTTGCGCGATATGCGCATAAATAGTCGAGGCACCACCCCACATCCCACAACCCACCCAAGTGCACCTTGAACTTTGCATTCTCACGTGTTCCATGGACCTTATCAGCATTATCCATTATCCATTATCCTTTATCCATTATCCTTCCCCGCAGGCTTCTCCACGCCCATCCGGCACATATCCGTGAGGTCGCTGCTGCCGAACACGGACCACTACATCACCTACGAGGGCTCCACGACGCATCCTGGCTGCTGGGAGAGCACCGTCTGGATCATAGTTAATAAGCCCATCTATATCACCAAACAGGAGGTGAGTCCTGCCATCGACCGCAAATAATTAAATGCATTTCGTGTGTTTTTCAATTGCAATTAGAGCGGCTTTCTCTTGCTGGTTTATTTATGCTCGATTCGTTTCGGTTCGATTCGTTTCGGTTCGATTCGATTTTCCCTTTCCATTTTTTTTTTTTTGTATGGTATATTACTACCCATTTTTTACTGGTCGCTGATTGGAAGTACAATGAAATCGCATAAATGCAATTATAAAATTGCTCATCAATTTGGGCAGTGGTCAGATCGCGGTGGAAATGCGGTCAATATTCCGCTCTGTGCATAATTAAAAAACAATATTTGGTTAGTTTAATCAATTTGCATAAATGCATATCAAACATGTGTAACGGCCATGCCGTTGGGGTCAAAGAGTGCTGCGAAAAAATACTCAAAGTAAATGAGTAAACAATAAAATAGTACAAAAACTCGGCCGAAATACTCGGCCGAAATACATTAAGTGGAATGTAAACAAGTCAACGAATGACAAGAGTGATTTTTATGAACCTGTTGGAAATTGAAAGATGCTTAAATAAAAATAGGTGAACATATTTTTATTAGGTCCCAAAATTTTTATTAGAAAAATATTTAGGAAAGTTAACAAATAAAAAACTTCATTATATTTTGATCAACATTTTCAGTTGGTTACAAAAGGTAATCTTTTTTCAAGATTTGAAATAATTTAAATTGAATTTAGGGGTCTTTATTTCTGTACGTTTTTTACTAGTTCCTTTTTATTTTCAAGGGTGTGTGAGAAATATTTAAAAAAAATGCTCTAACATAAATTGAAAATGCTCTAACATAAATTGAATTCCATAAACTAAACTAAAATATAGTTGTCATAGCAATTAAACATTTCAACATTGACAAATTGCACAGGGAATTCAACACTCAATTTAACGGCAATTAGCGGGTCATTTAACCAGCTAGACAAACCACTTAAAAACCCACCATTAGGCAATTACCAATGTCCAATTTATGTTGCAGTTGTACCAACTCCGACGACTGATGCAAGGCTCCGAGAGTACACCAAAAGCTCCACTAGGTAATAATGCGCGGCCCGTGCAAAGTTTACACCATAGAACCGTAAGAACGAACATAGATTTTAAGCGCAACAAGGTGAGTGGCAACGCTTTAATTAACCCATTAGCCGCACGGTTGCAAGTGGACACAGTTTTTATTTGCGGTCACATTATTATAGTATTTACACATTTTTTGTTCATTTATTTTTAATGCGAAGTTCGGCTGCTGTGTGGACACAACTTTCATCCCTGATTACTTTTTTATACTATTTACATGGGAGGTTTTATTTTTGCAAATGTATATTTAATGAAAAATGGGCGATTTGTGGGCACACACAAAATGCAAAACATTGTAACGATTTCAAATCACTTGTTAAAGCTTGCCTTTTTTTACACCGTTAATCAGGTAAAAAAATTTATTATTTACCGGTCATTATTAAGGTTGTTATTAGTGATTTTTTGATAAACACACAAACATTTTACAAATCGAATAAGTTATTAAGAAATTAAGTTTAACATGGACAGTGACGTCAGTGCTAGCAGATAAATTCCACCAGATGGCGCCTTATCTTTTTTTGTTTGCCGCGCCAATAGCGCCATCTGTTAGGAGCATGTTTCTTTTTAAATTGTTTAAGAAAATAGAGTTTCTTCTTGCTTATTTATATTTTTAAGGTCACTTCTGCTCCATTTTGAGTCCTGCAACCGTGTAGTTAGACCCTCAAACAAATCTAATCCTTCAACAAATTCTCAAGTATCCAAAACTCTCTTCCAAAACATTGACAGAATCAATATGCGTGCCCCTCGATGTACAAGGACATGTACTATCGGGCGAATCGATGGTCACCCGACACGGGACTTTTGATACGTTGACAACTGGGCAGGGAGTGCTGCGAAAAGCAATTATTATTATTGCTATTATTATTATTATTATGCGTGGTAAATAATGTTACAGCAATTACAACTATAATGACAACAACTGGTTACAAAAACATCAACAACTGAGGCTGGCAACGAAGCATTTTGCATTTTTTATGTCGCATTCAATTTTTATATTCATGTTTACAACACGAACTCAGGATTCGTTTGGCTTGCAATTGCAATATTCCTACGGCAGCAGCAGCGCGGCAATTTGTATTATTTATTTCATTATTATTAATAATACAACAACAGGACAAATTTAGGTAACAAACGCATGCAAAAAGCGGAAAAAGAATGCTTATAGAACGAGAATAACAATAGAGTAAATTCCATGCCAAACGCAAATGCTAAATTTAACAAACACACAGACACTAGCAAAAAGCAGCAAATAGTAGCTTAAAATTTGCGTAAAATTGTTATTGCAAATATATTTTTGTGGAAGAGCATGAGAACTTAATTCAATGAAATTCAATACCATTCGGTTTTTTCTTGGATTTCTGCATAACACAAAAAAAGCACGAGTCCGCCGTAGTTTCTTGTTTGCCAGGCTTAAATTTGTAAATTTAAGCGTGTTAATTAAATAAACAAGGACTCCTGCTTTTCAATCACCTAGTTTTCAATAGATATTCATATCGGAAAGGAAATCTGGTCGATTAAAAAGCTTAGATTTATTCCGGACTCATTTAAATATTTCCAATTCAATGCATTCCATATATTTATAATTATTTGTGATTTGCCTCCAAAACAATTCAGCAAATAAAGAGAAACAATGTTATAAGAACAGGAAAAAAAGCGACTACAAAGTGAAATATGAGAATTTCCGTAAACTGGATGGGTGGACAATAACTAACAAACAAAACAAAACGAAACGAAACGAAAGATAAATGAAAAGATGGAGAGGAAATATAAACAAATGGCAACAGAAATTAACAAAAAGTAAATATTCATATAAATATACACAAAAGTAAAGGTATCTATATATAAAAGCATATATATACACACATATATAGACCACTCAATCAGGGGGCAGCCACAGATTTCTCTAGAGATTTGGAATCTTGTAAAAACAAAATTATTTTGCCAAAGGACATTGGGCTAAAAATCTTTCCAAATGGATTTCAAACCTTCGTACACCGTTTAATACTCTAAGGACATCTGTGGCACCCCTGTATATATATACACTATACACACTATATGTATGAATGGAAAAGTGCAGTAACTAAAATAAAACCAAAAACGAAAACCAATGTCGGTACACTATATAGGATGGCTATGTATAACTCCCACAACCGAAGATACATCCACACACACCCAAAGCATCTATACGCGTCTATATACTTGGCTTCGAAATCGATGATCTCGCAGGACATCCCATCCTCAGTTAGCGGCCATCTATATATCTATACATCTATAAACCTAGTCACCAGTCATGGAGTATACACCAGCTAAAGGAATGGGCTACAAAACGTAATCCAACTCTAAATGGCAAGCATTAGAATTAACTAACTAACTAACTAATTAATTGATTAACTAGCCGTGTTGCTAACAAAAACCCAAGAAAATCAAATTCGAATTAATGAGTAAACAAAAAACTAAATATATATATATATATATAAACAACATTTTTTTTTGAAGGAAAACAGTGTTGTAAAGTGCTGTAAAGACAAGTATTGTGGCTAATGTAGAACCTAAGTTACTGAATAGCATTTAGCAGTTAGCAACACCTGAGTTTGTATTATATACACGAATATATAGTATACCTAAACATATATCAGATCCGTTCAATTCCCACATTCGCAGCTGTCGAGCGACACTTTGTGCAATTATTTCTTTGGGCCAAAAAGCAACCAACTAACTAAGGAACATACTAACTAGCCGACCAGTTAGGCCCCCCCGATTATGTGTAGAGCATTAACTAATTGTATAAAAGCTAAGGGGATCGAAACGAATTCCTCAACTCGGTAACACTTTGCTACGACTGTAAGTTACTATTGTGTTGCCATATGAAAACAAAATGAAAATTATAAGGAGCAGAAACTATATATATATATACACATATATATATATATAAATTATACAAATTCTATATATATGTAACTATAAATGCAAGAATTACTAAGCATAGTACAGGTTAGCGGCAATGAAAAGAGAATGTATTGTTTCCCGAGAAAAACGAAATTGGAGAATGCAAAACTAATAAATGAAAAGCGAAGTATTATATGAAAACCAAAGCTCCAGTTCTTTTTTTCGGGTGTGTAATCTTTTCAGCAGGCAGTCATCCCAATATCCGGAACCCAAAATAGAAATGGAATTTCAAATCATCACCAGATGTCGGTTTTGGGGTGAGAGTGAGGTAAGGATTATACATTTTCCCAAGGCAGTTTTCTAATAAACCAAACATCCTGGCAACTGATGAGTTTTCTGGAATTCCCTGACAAGAATTAGGTTGTTAATTCGCTTTTATTTGGAGTCTCTAAGCCGTTTTACTTTGTTCTGCACACTGAAGGAAAATAAGCATAGGGATTATATAATGAATTTATTCATATTTCAAACATTGCGACATTGCAAACAATTTATCTATTTTTTTCTAGTTTTTACAAGGTTGTGTGGCTTTTAATTTATTAAAATATATCCTTCTTGAAAACACTTTCTAAAGTCTGTTGGCAAAATCCAAATACCGATGTTATTGAACATAAATGTTTAAATTACTGGTGAATTCTGACTATTAAAACTACCTTAGCAGAGAAATTTTTCCATAAATATTTGCTTTGACTGTGCAAATTCCAAAATATTTCTCAAATTTTGTTTTTTTGAAAGTGTAAGCCCAATTGGAATGTCCTTGGGCAGCAGAACAATAATAATTATAGTAGCGAATGCGTAACGCAGTCAAGTGCTTAGAAATGGGCTGGCAACAAAAACACACTTTATTTCCGTTTGCTGCCACAATGACGACACACACACACACACAGACACAACTATGCAGCAACGCACACCAACTCATAAGACACACATACACCCACTGCGATGGACACAGTGGGAATGGCCTGTTTAAATATGCAATTTCAATTTCCGAAAAACACAAAACGCGTGCAACACGCAGAGGATTCACAGCTCAGGATTTCACTGGATGGAAAATGGAAGTGTGATGGGGTGGGCAGGGGTAGGAGGGGAGTGGAGGGGTGGTGGAAAAGCGGAAAACCGGTGGCGATTGGGAGGATGTAAAATTTGATGTTGAATGTTACCAGGCAATCGGAAATGGCGGATTTGAGCGGCGGTTGGGCAGCGGCCGCATGTTTAATTGGACGCAATTGAAACTAAACTAGCGTAAAATAGAAATAAAAACACAAATGGAAATGCTGCTCGCGGCCATATGGCCATAGAAATTCATTCGTTTCGTTTCGCATAAAAATTAATTACAAATTAATTTACCATAAATTGGAGTACCACCCCCCTTACCCCCCTTCCCCCCACAGAGCGCGGTTGGTCAGTCGAGTGGCCAGAAGTCGCTACAATCACTGGACCATGGCACAAACGCATTACGAGTGCGATTTTGTGGGGCCTCTCTTTATAACGACTCTTCATTAGCGCCCCTAAACATTCGCCTACAGTGGTCACTCGTTTTAAAAGGGAATTAATTTAAGCAATCAGTGGCGGGCTCACTGATATCCGTTGATTTCAGATGGCAATTCGTTATCTAGGTGAAATTGGACAGGCAAGAAGTATGGAAAACACAGTGGTGAAGGCAGATTTTTATAAAAATAAAAGTAACCTCAGGCATAATTAATGTGTAGTAACAGAGTAATACCAATAAGTAAATGTGTATTCTCTAAAAATGTTTAATTTAAAATAAAGCAGAAGAATTTTTAAATATTATATAAAGAATTCTTAATATTAAATGCAAAATTAATCTCCTGTAAGAATTCTTGATAACCAATTAAGGGTAATTAATTATGCAGTGAAATTAAAAAAAAATAAAATTTTCTTTATTTTTTGCATGATTGTTTAAATTGCTTCTTGGGAAATTTATAAAAAAGCCTAGAGAAGACTACAAAATGTTAGTTATTAAATATTTCTTTTTAAAGTTTTGTAGTTATTTTAATCAAGAAAATCGCAGAGCAAACAACCATTCTGTCATTTGAAAAACGGTTTGTGTTTTTCAACATTGGGGGCTATAATTTGGCCTGCATAATATTTGAGCGATTTGCGGACATTTCCCTGATAGCCAACATTATACCGCTGAAAGCCGTGCTTTTTTACTACCCTCGATATGGCCATTGTTTATGCTGATGCTGCAGCCTTGGGCCAAAAAAAATAAGGGGGCGGGACATTGAGGCATCAGTCGCATTTTACGGAATGCGGTCAAAAGGACTAATTATGCTAAATGCCAAAACCGCAACAACCAGTTAGCCATGGCCAAAACGCGTCCGCTTCTTTTTTCCGCCTCTGCAGTTGTTACTCGATGTTGCTGGTTTTTTTTTTTTCAGTGATGCGATAAACCAAAAATGCTGCACGATATTTCAATTAAATTGGAATGCCGATGGCCATGCATATGTAATGCATTATGATTTTGGGCCAACATTTTAGCTGTATTTTCAGTGGCCAGTGCCCAGTGCCACGCCCCCCAGCGAAAGTTTCTGCAGTTTGCAAAAAGCGATGGGCGGAAGGGCCGGACATGTAAATAACAGCAAAAGTTTTAATTAAATTTTAAATACAAGTTAATTTTTGTGTATTTTCACGCTCCACACTAACCCCATCTCTCTTTCTCTCTATCTCTATCTCTCTCGACAAATCCCTTTTATTTAACTTTGTCTATTATTTATCTTTGTGTGTGCGCCGCGCTGAAAATGAGTTATAAATATTTAGTTGTAATTCATGTTTAGTTTGCATTGTTTGCGGCCTTAAAATCGAAATTAATATTCATGAACCAGCGGCGGGACCGCTTCAAATTTTAATTAGAAATAAATAATTCCAGCACTTGTTGCTTTGCATTTTGCCATTCATAATCCCAATTGCATTGAGGTGATTTGCAAGTAATCATGTTGTACATTTCCAGGCCACACAACGCATATTGATGTCGATTGCCCGTTCTCGTTTCGAATCCTATTTCGATCCTGGATCCAATTCCTGCTCCTTTTCCAGTAATAAACGTGCGTAATCAAGCCATGGCCAGCTATGTATATCTGTCTGAATGACGGGGGCACACAACAAAAGCCAAAGCCAGTTCTCATATGGCACACTGAGAGGAAAGACGGGGCCTCCATCTTTGCTTGGCAAGGGAAATAGATTTGCCAAATGGTTTGAGAGGCGTAAATTAAAGCATACTTTTTGGGGCAATATTCATTTTATTGAGTCAATATGGTTCAATAATTTAAACTTTAAAGTTATGTAATATTACCATGCTTTGTTCTAAGGAAAAATTAAAATAAAAATGTTATGGCTCTTAAAGTACGGAAACTTTTATTTACTATCAAACAAAATTTGAATTTGAACCTCAAGAGGTCAACTTATAAAAATATTCTTTTAAAGGCAGTATATTAATGGTTTCAAAGAATATAGATAAGCACTGACAAATTAAATCAATTTCATAAGTCACATTATCCATTGGTTTACATTACCTAATCGGTATTTTCCAACATTTCTAATTTAAAAAAAAATTAACATCCATTGAATTTAATGAATTAATGATATGATTTAAGATCCACATAATAAATTTAATGATGGCTAGGCATTGTCCTTTAAAACACAATCATAACATATTCAAATAATTTTATAACATATTTTAATTTTACTATTTATATATTACAAAATGTAGATATTATTTCTCGCCGTGTATGTGCCAGCACCTGTCTTCCCCTTCTGCCGGGTGTAATATTTGATTTTGATTGAAGTGCAGTCAGGCATGTGCGGCCAAGGAAAAATCGCACGAGACCTTCTGCCTGTTGCCTATTCAGGACCTGCCAGTCCCGAGACCTGAGTCCTGAGTCCTGAGTCCCGAGTCCGTAGTCCTCTGTCCGGAGTCCGCAGTCCGTAGTTGAAGACGAACGCATAATGAGTGCCAGGCAAAGCCGGAGAGACGGGCTGCAAAAAAATGCATTATAATGCCGCCTGCCAACCGACATGAACGTGAACGAACGCCTCCGGTTCCCGTCCCCCCGCGTCCTTCTGGGACTCCATTTAAGCTACGTGACTAACGGGCCAGGACTGCAGCCACAGATTCCAGGAAACTGGTTCGCAGAGCTCCCAGAAATGCGAATCGAATACGAATTGGATTGATTGATTTCTTAGAATTTAATATCTGAAATTCAACATTGAGCGTTTAGTAATATAATATTACCCAAAACATTTATCCCCTTTGCCACTTGCAAATCGTTTATAAGTTGAGAAGTATCCGCACATCCTAACTTCTCTCCTGACCTTCTTACATACATTTTTCGATAATTTTAAAATGGGAGAAAAATACCCAATATCGGACCAAAATAAAACAACAGAATTTGAATGGATATTGAACTTTAAGGTATATATAGTTTTTATAACTGTTTAATGTTTTTTAAAGTGTTTAAAGAAAAATATAACCCAATGTTTTAAAGGTATACTACTCTTATATAAATTTATAAGTTTCTATTTTGTAATATTCTTTTGTGCCAAAATCTTGTTGCCTAAAGGTATACAATTTAAAAATTATTTAAAAGGTTGTATAACTTCTAATTAATTGGATAAACGTAAAAGTAATAAAACAAATTGTGGACTTATCCACATAAAAATCGTTCAACGCCGAACATCACGATGAACTAGTTCCTCTAAGGATTCCACATAAAAATGGCGGCATCGGAACCCTTTGAAAAGTCATCTCGATGCGACCTGACAGGCATCCTGCGCCTGCCCCCAAAACACGTTGAGCTCCTTTCAGCCCGGGGCTAAGCCAGCTCAGACTTGAATTCGGACTGAGACCCGGAAAAGCCGGGAATATCGCACTCCCCCGCACCCCCCCCTCCCTCTCCTTCGATGGCTTCTGCTGCACTTCTTCAGCTTCGACTTTCTCCGCTTTTTCACGCCAGGCAATTTTATGGGCTGCATAAATCAGAGATGCCCTCCCCCACTCCCTCCCTCCCCCTTCCCCTTCCCCTCGCCAAGCCACCAAGTCGTCTGTGGGCGTGGCAGGCAATTTATACTTGACGACGTTATTATTTGGAGCCACCCGAAAACTATATTCGTA